GGCACGTCTCCAGGCCCCCCACGACGCCCGACGCCCGTCCTCGGCCCGACGTCGCTGCTGCCCAGGCCCGACGGGCCACCGGCCCGCCTCGTGCTGGCGAGCGGGGGCAGCTGGCAGGGTCCGAGGCCAGCATGGCAGAGATGGGCTGCACCAGAGCGTGGGGCGTCGGGTCCAGGGGGCTGTGTCGGGGGCACAGCTCTGAAAGCAAGCAGAGGTCAGGGTGGGTGCCTTGGGTCATACTTGCGTGTCACGGAGGAGGCAGCCTCCGCCCACACCCAGCATGTGCCCACCCTGCGTGTGACCTGGAACCTGCCAGCCCTCCACCCCATCCCCGGAGGCCCAGAGGCATGTGGTTCCTGGGGAAATAGCTTCACCTTCTGGGCTTTCTTTGCGCAGGGACGAGGAGCATCCATCTTGCAGGGCTGTGGGGCAGATTCTATCCTTGACACATGATAAGCCCAGAACAGGGTCCCTGCTTTGTCATCCCTTGGCCCTTGGCCCCATGTTAGTCACTGAAAGACCCTCCAGGAACCCCAGCCCCTCCCCACGGTCCTGATTCATGACATCTTGGAGTTTGGAAAAAGCGGCTGACGAGGAGCTTCTGAAAGCCCAGCAGAGCGGGCAGACACCCCTCAGAAGAGGCCAAGGTGGCTGTGGCCTTCCTCAGTTCTCCTGCCTGTGTCGGGGGCTTCTTGCATCCGGGAGGAAGGAGGCAGGAGCCCTGGGCAGGGGCTCTGGACGCACCCCTCCCACTTCCCCCTGTCCAGACCCTGGGGAGCGGGCAGGAGGGCCCGACACAGTGCGAGGGGCCGGAGCTCTCATCCCCTCTGCCGCCCTGGGAGTGTGAGGAGCTGGGCGGGTCTTGGACTCAAGTTCTATGATCTCTGAACCGTTTCAAAGAGGTGTCAGAAAGGCTCTTTCTGGGTGGCTTGGATCCTTCTTTATATTTGTCTACATTTTCCTAGAATAAACAGGTTGTGCTTATGTAGCAAAAAAGAAAAAAAATTAGAGGAAAAAAACCTGTAATGTTTACCCTTCACTTCTGCACTTGCTTCCAAATACCTCCCAACACATGGACAAGGCCCTCTGACTCATTTGCCCTCTAGACTGGTGGGGCAGCCAGAAGCCTGGAGTGGGGCCATCTCAGCACCAGAGGTCAGAGCAAAGCCCTTGCCAGCCCAACGATACGTGGGGCTGGGCCCTCTGACACCTGTTTCCCAAGGAAGGGGGGTGGGGGAGGCAGAGAGCCCATGGGGCAAGAGGGCATGACCTCCCTCCAGAAGCCCGTCTAGGGCTTTCCTCCATGCAGGTTCCCTGGAAAGGGTGGCGGGCAGCAGCAGGAAGCCACAAGCAGTAAACACCCTTCCCCGCGTCATCCAGGAACACGGGGTGCCAGCCTTGCCCAGACCCCAGCTCCCCCGTCCACGTGCTGGGCCAGCCCACGGGCCACCTGGAGCCTCCTCCAGCACCGTGCCTGGACGGCTGGCGCCCAGGGACGGGTGGGCGGCAGCTCTGAGGAGGAATTCTCCAGCTTGCCTCTCAAGAATCTGATTCCCAGAATGTGAGAGCTGCAAGTGCCGGGGCTGGGGGCGGCTGACTCCCACAGCGCACCGCCTCATCCTCACTCCATGGCAGGGAGCTGGAGGCCGGCAGAGGGGCCGGGCTGCCCACCGTCACACCTGCGCCTGCTCTAGGGTAGTCCTGATGCCTGCTGACCTCCTCACTGGCACCAACTGGGGGCAGGACTGGGCCTGGGGTGGGGCCCACCTCCTGTGGTGCCTTTGCCTCCTCCCACCAGAGAGGTTCACTTCCCCCAGAGGTGGGCCCAGCAGAGAGTGTACCTCTGGCATCCCCAATGCTGAGCTTTTGTCACTGACACACTATGTGACCTCAAGTGACTCCCTTCATCTCTCTGGACTTTAGTCTTCCCATCTGAACACTGGGGATAATATTACTCACTCTGTTCCCTTCTCAGGACTGTTTTCTAGAACAGAGGAGAAAACGAATGGAAAATCTTCTTTAAGCCTAAACTGTTAACTCTCTGGAACTGTCTACAGTCAAGCAGGAGAAATGGCCCCAAGGCAGGAGCAGATTATAGAGTGGCACGTGTCCCCAACACGCCCTGTCTCTGCAAGGCTGGCCATGGCCCCTTTATTCCAGGTGACCCAGCATCACGGCTCAGGTGTGCTAGCAAGCAGGGACCCTCGGGGGAAGGGGGAGGGGGCAGGCTTTAGTGGCAGAGGGACTTTATATCTTCAGAAGACTGAGAATTTCTTTCAAGTGTGGATCCTAGGGCGGAGCCTGAGTCGGTGTGCGCACACTGGATTGGAAGAGAATCCCTCCAGGGTGGGGCTGAGTCCCCCAGGCCCAGGGCTAGCCCAGGCCTGGTGCTGGCAGGTGGTCGGGAAAGGGGACAGGGAACCAAGGGGTGTGGACTGGAGCTCCCAGGGGAAGATGTGGGTTCTGAACTTGCTGGACACCTCTGCTTGTGCTGGAGAGATAGGACATGTTTGCAAATGGTGCCACTTCTGAGTCCCCAGTTGGAGGCACACAAGGTCTGCGTGGGGCACTCGGGAGGCCAGGGCCACTTACTGTAGTGCCTGGGCTCCTTGGCGTGGGGCCCGGGCTTGGCGGAGCTGGGTGTGCCCGGGTCCGGGGCCTGGCGCCGGCTCTGCAGGGCCTGGTAGAGGCCCAGGGCCCGGCGCTTGGCCTTGCGCAGGATGTGGCAGACGTACTGGAAGATCTCCTCGTAGCAGTCGCCAGGCTCGGCATAGCTGGCCACGGTGCTGGAAGACAGGTAACGCTGCCGCTGCTCCAGCATCAGCCGGTGCTCCCGCTGCTTGGTCTCCGAGAACTGGGTCGCTATGACAACGAGGCACAGGTTGATCATGAAGAAGGAGCCCACCTGTGACCAACAGGAGGAGAGGACAGGGACAGGGACAGGGACAGAGGGGATGGTGGAGGCAGGGAGCCGGAGGGTGGGAAAGAGAGGCGGAGAAATGGAGAAAGTGAGGCGGGGAGATGGTGATGGAGACGGAGAAACAGAGGGATACAGAGGCAGAAAGGAAGACAAGAGGAGGGGCAGGGACAGATCCAGAACACAGAACAAGGAAAGGACAGAGCAGAGCGCAGACAGGGAGAAGCAGCCGGGGTGCAGAGAGACCAGGGCAAGGAGAGACACCAAGGGAGAGGGAGACAGACACAGAGGGTGGGGGAGACACAAAGTGACAGGGGGCAGGTGGAGACAGGGAGAGGAGGAAGAGGGGAAGGGGAGGGCCCAGAGAGACGGAGAGGCACAGGCACAGACAGGGACAGGAAAAGATGGCTGAGGCCTGGCTCCAGGAGGAGGCCTTGCTCCGGGAGGAGGCCAGGGCCCCAGGACAGCGTGGCCCAGGCAGCTCCCCAGCTCCCCTGTGGAGCCTGTTTCCCAGCCCACTCCCCTCAGGCCCCTAGGCCCTTAGCACTGAGGCCAGAGAGGGAGGCAGAGCCCCTCCCGGGTTATCCAGGCCCTGAGTCCCACCCCAGCCCTGCCCTCTCTACAGCCTTGACCTTGGCCCCAGGTGGGCCTCCAGACAAGAAAGAGAAGCTTCCCTAGAAAGGGTTTCGTTGTGTGGCTTTGTCTGTGCTTGGATGGCTGGTGGGGAGAGGCTACCCAGTTGGTGCTAGGACTCTCACCACCTCAAGCCCCAGGGCCCAGCTCCAGGGGGCACTACAGGCAAAAGAACCCTTCCTGCCCCAGCTGCCAGAGGGCAGGCTCCTCCCAGAGATGTGCTAAACCTTTGAACAGACTTAGCTGCCTGCCAGGGAGAGGGGCTGGTGGTGGCTCACCCTCCTCCAGGCTGCCCGCCAGGAGGTTTCTGCAGGCTGCAGCCCCAGTTGCTGATCTGCCTTCCTTTCCCTCCCCACCCCACCATGGCTGGGGTGCTGGGGTTCAGGAGGGAGAGAGTATAGCAGCTGGGGAGCTTCCCTGCCCAGAGGACTCTGGGAAAATCCCTTGCCTCTAAAGTAAGAAGATGTCTCACTCATTCGCTCTCTCTGTCATTTCTTTCATAAGCATTTCCTGGAGACCCGCTCTTCGGGCCTGGGTGAGGGGCACAGACCCTGCCCTCTGGGAGCTCACACCTGCCTCTGCAGCTGCTGTCCCCGGGGTAACCAGGCAGCTCCCCATCCCCTCTGGACCTCCACTTCAGCATCTGTAAAACAGAAGGCTTGGGCAAAATGAGCTTAGGGCTTTCCCAATCAGGAGCACTAGGGACCTCGGTTCTGAGGGCCAAGGACCCCTCACCCACTGTGTGGCCCCCGCCAGGAATTTCACCCCTCTGGGGCTCTGAGGAACAGACAGGTGACCTGCATGGCCAGGGTTGTGAGGATAGGATGACAGCATGGTGGCTCAGGCTCTGCTGTCTGGATCCCTCCCAGCACCTGGAAAACTCAGCATGCTCAGCATCCCACCAGCATGCCTTCTCCTGGGACAGGGCCACCCAGGGCCCAATCATCACAGCAATGATAGCAGCAGGGCACATTTACTGAGCACTTACTGTGTGCCAGGGGCTGTGCAGGCTGCAGGCTCCATCTCCTCTAACTCTCCCCAGGGCCTGTGAGCCAGGTGCCATCCCTGTTCCCGGCTCCGAGATGAGCTCGGGGAGCTAAGGGACCGCCCAGGATCGCACTGGGAGTTACCACCCTCAGACTCCCACCCCTAAGTCCCTCAGGAGAAGCAGATGAAGCATCCTCCAGCCTCTCTCTGGAATTCCGGGCTCCTCCAGCAACCCCAGTGGTTGACAGTCCCCCCACTGCAGGGTTCTGTCTGGCTTCAGGTTCTCTGCAGGCGCCCCCTGCCCAGGACACTCTTCTGGCTCCCTCCCTCAACTCCCAACTCCAGTCTTTAAGGCTCAATTCTGGCATCACCTCCTCCAGGAAGCCTTACTTCCCCCACCCCTCTCCAAGCTGGGTTAGAGGCCTCCTTTGGGCTTCCTTCTCTCATGGCACCTAAGACGCTGTCTGGCTCCTGTCTGCTGTAGCCCATCTTCCCCTACGAGACTGTGAGCTCCTGGAGGGCAGAACTGGCCGTCCTGACTCACTGCTCAGTACCCAGCCCTCGGCTCAGGGCTGGATGCAGTGCAGGCTGTCCTGAATGTGCTGGGGAATGACTAAACCAGGGGATGGATGGCAATGCCGAACAAAGCCTGGGCCCCTCCCCCTTGATCTGGGGTGTCTCCTTATGGGTCCAAGGCCCCAGGATCTCCAGGGAGGCATCGAAGCTAAGCCAACAGCAGGTGTGTCTCAGGTTAGCTTGTCCTGAACCCCTAGGTCAAAGTCCCACCAGCCCAGGATAGGGTGCCCAAGCGTGCCCTCTCTCCCACCACCAGGAAGCCGGAGAATCCGGCCTTGCAGCAGCAGGGAGCCAGCAGCGACTCGCCTAGGAGTGAATCACCTTGACATTTGGGGACTGTACTGTGGCTGAAGCTGCAGTCAGGCATGACAAGGTGGATGAGATGGCTCTGGGGAGACTGGGGGTGGTGGTGGGAGGGGCGGGCCAGGAAAGGGGCCCTCTCTGTGGGGCCGAGAGAGCCCCCCTTCATCTCCAGGTCTCCCCTACAAAGCAGAGCTGCTCAAGATATGCGAGTCCCTCCGAGAATTTCAGGGAGCACCACCAGCTCACAACCAGCCGCGGGCTTCCATTTCACAGCATCTCATCTTCCCAACCCAGGGAAAAAGGAAGAAGCTGAAGCCCTTGAGAAGCTTTCATCCTGGGGCTGCATCCCTGCTAGGGTCATAAAAGCATGTATTCCCAGAGACAACGAGGCAGAGAAACACAAGCAGGAGCAGCGCGCGGACTTAAATGCCCAGAAATGAGAAACGAAGGCAATCGGAAGTGATGGATGCCTCCAGCAGCCACCCCCGACGAGCTTCTTCAATCACCCACGGCTCGGCTGCATTTAAAAATCGCCCCTCCAGCTGTCTCCCACTCAGCTCTCCTGGCTCTGAGGGGCACCCTGGGGACTTCCAAAGACCCCCCCCCAACTCTGGTCCACTGGTCATGCGTCCTTGAGCTTGCCCGGAGAGCCCCAGCCTCCCTGACACTTACTATGATAAGCAGGATAAAATAGATGAAGTTGTAGAAGGAGTGAGCATCCATCACGTAGTACATGATCTCCACCCAGCCTTCCAGAGTAATCACCTGCAGCCAGGACACAGCAGAGGAGGAGAGATTGCCTTAGACAGCTGACCCTCCCGAAAGGCAGGCAGCAAAGGAAGTGCCCCAGACAGAGGTTCCACTGTGTGCCGGGGCACCTACAAACGTCCCTATCAAGCTCACAAGGGCTCCACCGGGCAGCCATCCTCATCCCCAATTATACAGGTGAGGTAACTGAAGTTCAGAGAGGTTAGGGCACTTGCCCAATGTCACACAGCCAGGAAGGAGTGGACTGGTGACTTAACTTGGTCTCTCTCACTCCAGAGCCCACCTGAATTCCAGTCTACCACACCACGGCAGGAGGGCTGGAAGCAAGGGGCCCCACGCTGCAGGTCCAGCTCGCCCCCAGGCCACTCTGAGCCTCAGCTGCTTCTTCAGTGTGTGCGATTAACGGAGCCCACCTGGTAGGGCTGGAGTGCAGCTCAGCTGAGCCTGGGAGTGTGGCTGTGACGAGGCTGGTTTGACTCTGTCCCCCACACATTTTTCCAGAGAGGGACACAGAGCAGCCTTGGGCAAGATGGACACTGGGTCTTCCCCAGCACCATGGTCTTATTCATGTCTGGCAAATGCACAGCCTACCACCCTCTGGGCGCCAGAGGGTCCCAAACCGTAGCCGCCAGGCTGTGATCACATCACGCCTGCAGCTCTGAATTCAGTGGTCCTGCCACTCCCCAGAGCAAAGTACACAGAGCAGCCATCTCAGCAAGGCCCTGCCGTCCCCCCAGGGGCCTCTCAGCCACCACCCTGTGTACCTGTCCCCTCTCTTCTTCTGACGACAGCAGGAAGGTAACCTTGACTGAACACTCACTGCACATTGGGCTCTGCTCACATCATCTGGTTTATTCTTCTCAGCCACTCAAGGTAGGGGAAACTTATCGTTCTCATTTTAGAGATAAGAAAACGGAGGCACAGAGACATGAAGCAATAAACCTGAGGGCTTACAGCCATTTCCTCGAACCTCAGTTGCTGTCTGTCAACGGGCACGTTGGGCAGACATCAGTGAGCCAGGCTGCAAACGCGCAGCACAGAGCCCCGCCTGCTGGGCGAGGCTGCTCACCTACCTTACCCTCCCCCAGCCCCAGCCCAGAGGGCCTCACCTGGAAAATGACGATCCAGGCATAGCCGATGTTGTCAAAGTTGATGGCGCCCTTGTGGGGGTTGGCGCTGCCTGTGCGGCACACATTGTAGTAGCGGTTCCAGTTGACGCAGAGCCCGCTGGCGTTGAGGTCCTGGCGCCCCGCCCCGAAGTCATAGACATCGTCCTTGGACAGGCAGCACTCACGGCCCTGCTCCTTAAGCGGGGGGATCTCGTGGCAACCCATGATGCCATTGTCCCCCGACAGGGAGCAGATGAAGGGCATCTCGTCGTCCTCCTCTGGCTGGTAGTAGGGGGGCAGGGCCACATCCCCTTGTCTGTCCATAGGTGAGGGTGGGGATAGAGGAGAAGGGGGCGGTCACCACCATGCAGCATGGCAGAACTGGCCCAACAGGCTGTCACTGCTTCCAGGCCTTTGCACATGCTGTTCCCCTTGCCTGGGACACCCTTCCCACCTCTGCCATGGTCCCCAAAACACCCACTGACCCACTGTGGGCAGCTCCAGGGTCCCCCTGCTCAGGAAACACTGTACCCTGCACACACCTCCATTATTACTCCTGCACCCAACTCCCCTGGGAGGCTGGAGCTCTTTCAGGGCAAAGACTGGGTCTGAGCACCCTAGCACCCACACACCGTTTGGTCGGTGCAGAGTAGGTGCTCAATACACAATGCTGAATCTTACTGATACAGGTGAAGATACGATCCTCTTCCTGGCCCACCCTCTCCCATCTATGTGACCCTGGGCTGGTCACTTTCCTTCTCTGGATCTCAGTTTCTTCATCTGTAAAGAGAGATGGCAGACCCTGCCTGCCCATCATATAGGGCTAATCTGTGATTCACTGCAGTCCCAACCAGAATCCCAACATGTTTCTGTCTGTGGAACTTGGCCAGATGGTTCTAGGAGTTATCTGAATGGAAGAATAGTCAAGACAATTTTTTTTAAATAAGAAAGATGAATGGAGTGCAGCCCCACAAGAGAGCAAAATACTCTTCAGTGCTGATTATTAATCCAGTGTGGTATCACAACGGGAACAGAGAGATTTGTGGAACACCGCAGAGCACAGGGATGCCCATGTATAAAAGAGAATTTAGTAAGTTATAGAGACGCCTCTTCAGATCCGTGAAGAATGAAAGGACTAGTCAATAAATGATGTTAAGACATTGGCTATCCATTTGGAAAATAATAAAGTTAGATTTCCACATGATACCATATACAAAAATAAACCTCTTGAAGACATGGTATCAAAAGAAACAAAGAATGTCTATTATCCCATCATTAATTGTTTATATTGATTGCACACTGAAAAAAATAACATTTTGGATATATCAGGTGAAGTAAAATATACTATAAAATTTAAAATAATAGACTCCTAGTGGATTTAAAAGCATAAAGGCAACAAAAATAACCACACAAACATTACAAGAAAATATGAAATATTTCTGTTAATGGGGATAAGTAAGGCCTTCTTGTATGAGACACATAAAATCCAAAATCTATAAAGAAAAAGGTTAACAAGATTGATTACACACCAAGTAAAATTTCTGCGAGACAAAAGTTAGCAGACAAAGTAAAAAGACAGACAACAAATTGGGGTAAAGTGGAGGCAGGGAAACTTTTTCCGTAAAGGGCCGAATAGTAAGTATTGTTTTGCAGACCACATGGTCTGTTCCCAATCACACACTCCGACACTGTAACATGAAAACAGTCATAGGAAACAGGTAAACAGGAGGGCATGGCTCTGTGCCAATAAAACTTTATTTACAAAAACAGGCCAGAGTTCGCCAGTATTCCCCAGCATACCATGTTTGCATCATACAAACCAGATAAAAGATCACCATCTAAAGCATATTCAAATTCCTATAACTCAATAAGAAAAAGAAAAATAACACACTAGGAGGGAAAAGGACAAAGGAAAAGAGAAAATTCACAGAAGAAATCTAAATGACCAATATATAGGAAGAGAGGCTCCCTCACTAATAACAGGAAAACACAATGACAGGAGCTCTTCTACGTGCATCCAAATGCAACCATTTCAGTCTCGATAATGCTGAGTGCAGGGAAGGGTGCGTGCAGACACGCTCGTGCTCATACGCTGTTGGTGGGAGAGTAAACTGATACAACCTTTTCAGAGGGCAATTTGGCAACATTCATCATCAAGTAACATGTAGGCATCAACCCAAACACATACGGTCACCTGGCGGTAACACAGGGACTCCTGCAACCCCGTGGAGAAAGGATGGACTTCTCCGTCAACAGTGCTGGGATAACTGAATATCTGCATGAAAAATGAGTCTTGACCCCAACCACGGGCCATTCTAAAAATTATTTGAAATGGAATATAGACCTAAATGTGAATGACAAAAACAAGAAAGCTTCGAAAAGAAAACACTGGAGGATATTTTCATGACCTTGAGTTAGGAAAAGATTGTTTAAACTGGATACAAAAAGCAATGCTAAGAAAATGACTAATAATCTAGACTTTATTGCAACCAAGAGCTTCTGTTCATTAAATGACTCCATTAAGAGAGTGAAAATGGAAAATTCAGACTGGAATAAAGTATCTGCAATATATATATGTAGAACTGCTACAAATTTATAATAGAAAGGCAATCCAATTTTTAAATGGCAGGAGACTATACAGACACTTCACCAGAGGATATACCAATGGCTGAAAAACATCACTACTCATCAGGGAAATTCAAATGAAAACTACAGTAAGGTACCACTGCACTCTCCCAAGAGTGGTGAAAATTAAAGAGCTGACAATTCCAAAAGTTGCTAAGGATGTGAGGCGACTGGAACTCTCTCGGACTTTGCTGGTGGACATTTAGTGCAACCATCTGGGGAAAACATTTGGCAAAAATCTAGTGGAGCTAACAAACATATCCACTTCCTTAACCCAGCGATTCCACTCCTGGGAATTTACCCAAAAGAAAGCATGGCCATATCCACTCAAAGACATGTACAAGGATATTCATGAGTCATGGAGCCAAAGAACCAGAAACCACCCAAATCAACGGCAGCGTGGAAACACACACAGCGGTGTATTCACTT